TCCTTTTCTCTCAATGCTGGCAAATGGCCAGAGAGCTTTAAAATGTCAGGACCAGTGTTTTCAGGACCGATGGTTAACGAGGCCAAACTACAAGAAAAAAAGGTCACCAACTTCCACAGCAGGTTTGGAAGTTTCTTGAAGCTGAGCTGGGCTCAGTACCTTGTGTTGCAGAATAGGCCAGAACGGTGATTCTCACCTCCTGAGAAAGCTGACAAGCATGCATATCCACCCCAGAGATGATTCAGATGGCCCTGGTGTAGGAACTTCAAGACCTCACTTTGGGGACCACTGGCTCAGGGGAAAGAGCTGGGCTTTGCTTAAGAGGACCTGCCTAGAGACAACTGACTTAACTTTCAGAAGCCTTAGGCCACTTCTCTGTAGACCAGGACTAGGAGGAAGGTGTGACCTAGAGCAGCTGGGAAGATGAAGAATGACTGTAAGCCACCTAGCAACAGCAGCGAGCCTGACTCTGAGCCTGTGGGGTACAAGGTGCCAGCCCAGCCCCAGAGGGATCCAGCAAGGACTGCGTGGATCTCCGTGAAGCCCTGCACAGGTTTTTATGCACATCTGTGGCACAGTCCACAGGGCTTGGCCTCTTGTCTTTCCCTGCTGCCACCCACTAGAGACAGTTGACCCAGCTACTTTTTGTTCCTTAAATGTAATTTGATCTCTTTCCCTGGAGCCTCCCCTTCCATTCCATTTCCCAACCAGGGAATCCTCATTCTCCTAATCCAACCTCCTTTTCAGGGTTGCCTATGTGGACACTTTCCCTAAGCCCCTTCCCTCACACAGATCCCAGTATGGACTTGTAGCCTGGAACATCACATGTACTATGAAAGTAGGGCTTGGGAGTTTGCAATCAGCAACTCCTTCAGCATTCTAGAACATTCTTAAAGGAAGGTGTGCTTCATCCCTATTGTAGTCACTGTCTATGCTCCCAAACTAAGGAGGGGTTCTAGTGACCTTGTTGCAGTCTTCTGACTATGGAGTAATGTTTCTTGTGCTACCTCACCCAGAGCCACCCAGCTACTTTGGAAACACCCTGTTCTCACAGACTACCACTCTGCTGTCCTCACTGACTGGTCCAGGGGTGCGCACTGGATTCCAATGGAGCCTGGCAATCTTCCCCTGAGGTCTTTCAAGCTGAGACAAAGAAAAGGCACAGGGGTAGAAGGTAAAACTTAGGGGTATGGTAGGCATGATCTTCATCTTGGGGAAAGACACTACCATAATGGAGGAGGAAGAGGAGGAGATGTGGAGAAAGGTAGGGAGGAGGGCTGGCAGCCTCCTGGCATTGAGCCTGGCCCTTCGTTTCCTCCTGACTCTGGGCTGCATGGCTACCTGTGATCATGCTGCCTGCTTTAGAAACCACAGACAGTGAATGCCCCTTCATACCTGAGCTAGTTGCAGCTGCATTCTGCCAGGGTCCACAATGACTCCCACCATACTGATCTTGGCATTCTCTCTAATATGCCACTAGCTTCTAAACTTTTTTAAAGCCTAGAAATTCCTTGTTCTAAAACACAAATCTCACTTGGAAACTCACAAAGTGAGTTCACACTCAATGTAGACTGCCTGGTGCTAAGTCTCCATTCAACTCAGTGATGTGATCAAGGCTTCTTAGCCTTAGTTTCCCCCTTTTAAAAAGTAGAGAGTGGAGGTACCCAACTCTGAGGGTTGCTGTAGGGTTTAAATGAGTCACATTTGCAAGTCTCTTAAACACTGTGCCAGTGCTTTAACAATTACTTCAAGTGTTCGCTATTACTGCATGGAAGTGGGGGTGGAGAGACAGCGCCCATCATCCTCAGCTTCCCTTCTCACCTCTGACCGCACTATATAATGTCTTTGGCACATGGGTAATGATTAAATGATTGGAAATCATTAGTTTAATACATGTCTTCCTACCTTGATTGGAAAAAAATCACAAAAACAAGAACATATTTGTCTTGGTCCTCAGATTTCTTTCCAGATCTGCTAGCTCAGAAACTGGTCCATAGAAAGTATCCAATAACTATTTGTTCACTGATAATAGATATGTATTATTTCTTTAAAAACTGGTACCACACATGTTACCAAAACTGGTGTCCTTTGCAGTACAAATCAGAAAAGCCACAAGAAGAAGAAAAGGCTTGACTTATGAGACAACCCACTAAAAACAAAGTTAATTCTTTAGGTACGGCCAACTCAGCCCCAGGGTTCATTTACAGACTAATTAATATAATGAAAAACATAACATGGTCAAACTTAAGAGATATACTTAAAGCAATAGTAAGGGAAATTTAGAGTCATAAGCACTTAGATAAATAAAACTAAAAATAAACTAATTAAATTCCCAATTCATAAAGAGAAAAAAACTTCACTGAAGAAAAACAAAGGCACAAGGACAGAAATAATAAAGATAAAATTATAAGTTAATGAAATAGAGAACGGAAAAACAATGGAATTAAAATCCTGTTATTTTGAAAAAGCTTAACAAAATAGAGAAACCACTTAACTTAGTTCAGGAAAGGGGGAGAAAACTCAAATTTACAACTAAGAAATAAAAACAATGGTGAAATAACTATTAAAAGGTGGAAATTTAAAAAATTCATGACACTACTTTGCAAACTTTTATAGAAATAAGTCTGAAAATGTAAATGAAATGAATACCTAGAAAAATACAATTTACCTAAGTTATCCCAGTAGAGAAAGAAAGCCTACCAGACCACTTTTTGTAAAATAAATAGAGAGAAAACTAAAGGGATTTCCCCAAGAAAAGCATCAGGCCTATGTGATTTCATAGGAGGTATAAATCTTCAAACACCAGTTAGTTTCAACGCTATATAAATTCCTTTGGTGCATGAAAAATAAGGGTAAACTTCCAAGTTATTTTTTTTCCTGAACTTAATCTTATTAAAATAATTGTACTAAATCTTATATATTAAATCTTATTTAAATAAGATTAAGATAATAAATAGCTTAGCTCTTTTTATATGTAAAATTTATAGATATATAATTTCTATGTACTATTTAAAATTTTAAATTAGCATATACCAAATTATTTTTCTGAAGCAAATATATCACTGATACTTAAATATCACATACAAATACTGGTGCAAAAATCCTAAAATAAGTATTAACAAGGGGATTCAATATCTGCTATAATTTGAATATGAGCCCTAAAAAGAATGTTTTGGAAACTGAATTCCCAATGCAACAGTATTGGGAAGTGGGGCCTAACGAGCAATATTAGTGCTGGGCTAACACTGTTATCCTGAGAGTGGGTTCGTTAGCGTGGGAGAGGGTTATTACATAAGGCTGAGTTCAGCCCCTTTCCTCACTCTCCCTCTCCCACTCTTGTCCTCTTTGTGTCATTCTACAGCAAGATGCCAGCCCCTTGATCTTGGACTCAATTTTAATTCTTTATGAAACTACACAGTCTCTGGTGTTATTAAAGCAGCAGAAAATTGACTCAGACAACATCATGTTGGGAAAATAATTCAACACAACTAAGGGGATTTATTCTAGGAATGCAAGGTTGGCTTAATATTGTAATAAAGTACACTATATTAAGTGAATCTAAGAAGGATTATTTGATAAGCTCTACTGATGTTGAAAAAGCCTTTGATAAAATTTGACATTTATTTCTAATTTAAAAAACTCATGAACCTAGAAATTGATGGATACTTCCCAAACACCACACATATAAACCTTAGTTCTAAAGCCCACATCTGTTAAATAAGGCATTTCCACTAAGATCAGGAGTAAGGCAGGATGCCCATTATCTCCACTAGTATTCATTATTGCACCAGAGGTATGAGCCAATGCAATTAGACAAGAGAAATCAGAGGCATGAACCTGAAAAACATAACATAAAATGATATCTACTTGCAGATGGTGTAATAGTATGCCTTGAAAATTGGAGAGAATTAATGCTTAAATTAACTCAAGCAGTGAAAGAATTAAGCTAGCAAATGGCATACAAAATTAACATAGAGAAAGCAGTTATCTTATGTATATAAATACACAAAAGTAAATCAAAAGATATAATAGTGAATAAATCTCCACTTCCAATGCTAACAATGAGAATGCATTGAAACAAACTTATAAAGAAATGTGCAAAGCCTATGGGAGGAATACTTTCAAATGTGCCTGAAAGATACAAAAGTAGACATGAGCAAATGAAAAGATGTCTTTTGTTTTGGGTAGAATGACTCAACATCAAAGGATGCCAGTTCTCCCAAAATTTATTTATAACTAATTCAATAAAAATACCAATAAAGTGTTTATGGAGCTACACAACTTGATACAAAAAAAATCACATAGAAAATAAATATCCAAGTATCTAGCTACCCTGATATTTTAGGGGAAAAAAAAAAAAAAGAACCATGAGGGCTAGTCCTACCTCACATTGAATCATTCTTTAAATCTCTATAAATAACAATGTGAAATTATCACATTTTAATCACATAAGTAATCAAAAGACTAGGAGAACACAACAGAAATCCCAAGTAGACTTAACAACATATGGAAATTTAGTTTGTGATGAAGGTGTTACCTAAATCACTGGAACATAGGTGGTCTTTTTAATTTATGAAATAGTGCTGGACAATGGGGGTAAGTATTTGGAAAAAAAAGTAACATAAGATTCATTCATCACACTATCCACCCAAAATAAATTCCAAGTTGAAAAAAAAAAGAATGGAAGAAAACATAAAACAATTCCTCTGGGTATATCAAAAGCACGCAATAAAAATAAAGTCTTGATAAATTACACCATGTAAAAAAACTAAAAATTGTGTGGTCAAAAATAACCAATTATTAAAATTTTAAATGTATGTATCTAAGAAGAAATCTTTACCCGCAAAGTGTTAACTTAGATCTACTGCAAAAGTGATGTCTTTACCTAGATTAGCCATTTTAAAGTTTCATTTAAGAAAAGCAGAATGGAGAGAGATAACTTGACCATGGAGAAAGAGGGAGAGAGCCTGGCCTCCTGTTAGTGTGGGCTTCCACTTTACCTTCTTTAGTTTCTTTTGGGCCCCACTGTAGTTTCCCTGTGCCAGATCTGCCCTGCTCAGAAACCGGTATGTCTCTGCGACCTCAGGACTAAAATCACCAAATGCTCCCACTTTGGCTTCTAGGGACTCTTTCAGGATCAATGTTGCTCTCTGAGAAAGACACAAAAGACTGTCTTGGTTAAAAAGTTCAAAGGCAGTAAAAATGTCGATACTCCCAAAAGTAATCTACATGTTTAATGCAATTCCCATCAAAATTCCAATGACATTCATTAAAGAGATTGAAAAATCTACTGTGAAATTTATATGGAAACACAAGAGGCCACGAATAGCCAAGGCAATACTCAGTCAAAAGAACAATGCAGGAGGTATCACAATACCTGACTTCAAGCTATATTACAAAGCAATAACAATAAAAACAGCATGGTACTGGCACAAAAACAGACATGAAGACCAGTGGAACAGAATAGAGGATCCAGATATGAAGCCACACAACTATGAGCAACTTATCTTTGACAAAGGAGCTAAAAATATACGATGGAGAAATAGCAGCCTCTTCAACAAAACTGCTGGGAAACTGGTTAGCAGTCTGCCAAAAAACTGAAACTAGATCCATGTATATCACCTATACCAAGATTAACTCAAAATGGATCAAGGATCTTAATATCAGACCCAAACTCTTAAGTTGATACAAGAAAGAGTAGGAAATACTCTGGAGTTAGTAGGTATAGGTAAGAACTTTCTCAATGAAACCCAGCAGCACAGCAACTAAAGATAGCATAGTAAATGGGACCTCATAAAGAACTAAAAGCTTCCGTTCATCAAAAGAAATGGTCTCTAAACTGAAGAGAACACCCACAGAGTGGGAGAAAATATTTGCCAACTATACATCAGACAAAGGACTGATAACCAGAATATACAGGGAACTTAAAAAACTAAATTCTCCCAAAACTAATGAACCAATAAAGAAATGGGCACGTGAACTAAACAGAACTTTCTCAAAAGAAGAAATTCAAATGGCCAGAAAACACATGAAAAAACGCTCACCATCTCTAGCAATAAAGGAAATGCAAATTAAAACCACCACAAGATTCCACCTCACCCCTGTTAGAATAGCCATCATCAGCAACACCACCAACAGGTGTTGGCGAGGATTCGGGGAAAAAGGAACCCTCTTACACTGTTGGTGGGAATGTAGACTACTACAATCACTCTGGAAAAAAATTTGGAGGCTACTTAAAAAGCTGGACATCGATCTACCATTTTCTCCAGCAATACCACTCTTGGGGATATACCCAAAAGACTGTTACTCCAGAGGCACCTGCACACCCATGTTTATTGCGGCACTATTCACAATAGCCAAGTTATGGAAACAGCCAAGATGCCCCAGCACTGACGAATGGATTAAGAAAATGTGGTATCTATACACAATGGAATTTTATGCAGCCATGAAGAAGAACGAAATGTTATCATTCGCTGGTAAATGGATGGAATTGGAGAACATCATTCTGAGTGAGGTTAGCCTGGCCCAAAAGACCAAAAATCGTATGTTCTCCCTCATATGTGGACATTAGATCAAGGGCAAACACAACAAGGGGATTGGACTTTGAGCACATGATAAAAGCGAGAGCACACAAGGAAGGGTGAGGATAGGTAAGACACCTAAAAAACTAGCTAGCATTTGTTGCCCTTAACGCAGAGAAACTAAAGCAGATACCTTAAAAGCAACTGAGGCCAATAGGAAAAGGGGAACAGGTACTAGAGAAAAGGTTAGATCAAAAAGAATTAACCTAGAAGGTAACACCCACGCACAGGAAATCAATGTGAGTCAATGCCCTGTATAGCTATCCTTATCTCAACCAGCAAAAACCCTTGTTCCTTCCTATTATTGCTTATACTCTCTCTACAACAAAATTAGAAATAAGGGCAAAATAGTTTCTGCTGGGTATTGAGGGGGGGAGAGGGAGGGGGCACAGGGGGTGGTAAGGGAGGGGGTGGGGGCAGGGGGGAGAAATGAACCAAGGCTTGTATGCACATATGAATAATAAAAGAAAAATGAAAAAAAAAGTTCAAAGGCTGATAAGGAAATTATGCAAGTGATATACATTTTCACATTCTAGAAGAATGGGTTAGGTGGACTCAGGAGCTGCGGCTACTCTCATCTGCCTAAATAGGAGACAGGTGTAAAGTGTGCAAAGTGAATGCAGAGAGGACACTGGGTGAAATAACCCACTTCAGCTATTGCTGGAGTCCATGTCAGTTGAGCAGAAACAGCAAAAGGTAATATGTTGGTGTCAGGAACTGTGCTCTATAGTTTGTGCCTGGTTTAATTTTCAGTCTTTTTTAGATGGGTACAATTTTAGTCCTCACTTGACAGAGGAGGAAACGGAGGCACAGAGCAGAAGTCAAGAAATCTGCTTGGAGTTAGACAGCTCATTACTGTGGAGCTAGGATCTGCATATGGCTGGTAATTCTGATACTTTCTAGGCCCATACTCTTCCCCCTCTGGGCACACTGATGTTCTTACATAAGTGAAAACTGACTAGAACATCCAGTTCACGATCCAGGGTTTTCTGTTCTCATAGAAAGTAGTTTAGGAAACCAAAACCAAACATTCCAATGTGACATGACATTCTGCTTGGTTCATCCAACTGACTTTTACCAACTTGGAGTGAAAAGTATGAGTTGGTCAGAAAACAGTATTTCTTGATATTAATTTCTTCAGACATCAAGACACACATGGGGAAACTCTGTTAGGGCTTGTCAATCCCCTCCATGTTCCAGGATCTTCCACATAAAAGCACAATTAGAGTTACACAACATGAATGCTGAATGAAGCAGGAATCAGTGAATGGGCCTTCCCACAGCACAGCCCTGAGGGTGGCCCACAGACAGGAGTTGCTGGGAAGTGCCGTACTCCATTTGTTGGCAATAACATGAGTTAGAGGCTGAGACTGGCATGGGGATGGTGCGGGAACCACATTTCTAGTGATAAGGTAGAAATCTACTTCGTAGGTGGAAAGAAGAAGTGCTGTAGGAGCAGAGTGGCTGTGTAACTTGCCAAATGTGGCCCTCTGAGGGACAGGAGGAACTAGAATTTCACTCCAACCCTGCCTGAAGCGCATCATAGGTGTACATGAAGTTAGGTGGCAAGTTGCCATGACAATGGAAGAGATGTCACATGGTGTCAGGTTCTGGCAGTGAGACAAAGTTTAATGGAGAAAACAAGGAATGATTAGGTCTTAGGAGAGAAGAGGGCATGGGCACCTGGCAGCCCAGGAGAAGCATTTGGCCTGTGTAGGGCCAGTCAGCAGATTCATTTAACTGCAGCAGGGTTTAAAGAGAAGAGAGGATGAGACTGGTAGGTGGCCTGCTTATGTTCTTAGAGAACATCTTAACCTGCAACAGAGTGACCTTGGCTTACATTTTACTGGAAAAGCATTTCTTCCCTGTTGGTGCAAGTTTCTAGTCCACATGAAGGCTGTGAGCACATTTGGGATAGTCTGAGTGTAGCCCTGTGCTCTTCTCTGTGACTGTCCTTAGGCCCAGCCCTTGTCGACAAACTCCTGCTAGGGCCCATGGTGAGAGGTCCATGACTGAAGGGTAAGAAGAGCATAAGGCTGCCATGTTTGGCCAGGAAGGTGGTGCCATGCACAGGGAGTGCCTGACTGGAGATCAACGAGAGCTGAAACCCAGCTGTGTTGTGTTTTCTAAGCAATGTGCTCTGGCATGGACTGTGTCTATCTGAGGAAAGGGTGGCTTTTCTATTCTTAAAAGGGCCCCCAGAAGGGCTGGCAGTAGCCATGAAAAGATAGTTTGCTAAAGTCTCCAAGGACATCCTGGGAAAGGGAGGTGCATCTTTGGATCAATGCCACTGATTTGGGTGACTTAGAAGGTCAGTGAGGCACAGCATCAGTGACACTGGGCATCAGCTGGCTCTATGCCATGGCAGGAAGGTAGATGGAAACAGGGAAAGGGCATGTGGCCTGTGGTAGTCATAGTGATCAGCTGGCCTGCAGCCAAGGACCCATCCACCCATCAGCTCATCAACCCTCACCATGAACAAGAGAAGCTCCCTGCCCTTGCAGAATTCAGTCCAGTCATGTGAGAGACATGGAACACCCATATAAATATGTGTTTACAAATACTACATCAGATGGGGTTCTACAAGGAAGAATCACAGAGAGAATCTAATGCAGACTGGGAGAGACAGCAGGAGGCTGGTAAGAACTGAAGGATAGATTGTACCAGTTTGGAACAAAGGGAAGGGCCTTCCAGAAGGAACCAAAAGTAGGCACTGCCCAGAGGCAGAAATTAGAAAAGGCCAGTATGATAAGAAATGTCAGTATAATCCAGGTTGTAGAAGGTATTGTGGGCCATACAAGGATTTTGGTTTATCCTAAAGGTGTTGGGGAGCCACTGGAACATTCTACAAACAAGCATTCACATGGTACTGGAGCTTGAATTCAGGGCCCTGTCCTTCTTAGGCAAACACTCTATCACTTGAGCCATCCCCTCAGCCCTTTTTGCTTCAGTTAGTTTTTCAGGTAGTCTTATGATTTGGCCTGGGACTAGCTTTGGATCTCAATCCTTCTGCCTCTGCCTCCCTCATAGCTGGGATTATAGACTACACCATCACTCCTGGCTTGTTCTTTGAGATAGGATCTCACTAACTTTTTGCCCAGGCTGGACTTGAACTGTGATCCTCCCAGTCTCCACTTTCTGCACAACTGTGCAGATTTGCTTTTTGAACAGATTACCATAGCTTCCTTAATCTGAATGAATTAGGCAAGGGCAAACACGGAAGAAGCAGCTGGGTGACAGGAGCTGCTAGGCAGTCCAGGCAAGAGATGATGCCTGAAAAACAATGGATGAATTCAGATAACTTTGGTGGGAAAAATGAGGAAGTGCATAGAGCAAAACATGATGGGACAGACTTCCCCCCACTCTTCTGACCTGAGCCCTCCTCACAGGACTTCTAGGGATGTTTGGGGTGACAATCTGAGGCCTGTAGCAGACACCTCTCTCCTTGGTTGGGTGACTCAGAAAAACAGTGAAACTCCATTTGCTATGGTGACTGTGGTCTTCCTTTGGCCTGAGAAACATGGTGATTAAAAGCTGTGTTCCTTAATCGAGAGGGGACGGGGGACAGGAAAGAGCCGTGGGAGTAAGTCTATGGGAAGCAAGGGAAAAATCTTTTTCATCTCCAATATTTGTCATGCTGAATTGAAAAAAAAAAAAACCAAAAAACCAACCCGTTAAGCTACTTATTGTGGTTTCCTGGTACTTGTTAAGTTTTGTAGGGAATAAGTTCCCAAGTATTTAATTACCAATGAATATAAACTCTGGGTCTCATTCCATTTTCCTAAGCCATGTCTGACAGGCCTGTACAAATCAATGGTAAAAGAGAGTGAGCTGGAAATTCTATACTGTGTAGTTTTCATTAGATATGCAAATTCCATTCATCACTCAAAATGAGCAGAGAGGAATTAGACACACTAACTGCCACACTCTATCCTAGCCAGAACTGCAGGCTGCTAGAAGCAGGGTTTTGTTCACTGGGTTCTTGAGATTTTCAGTCCTTTATGACCCTTTGTTAGTAGACATTACATCTACATTCTCATAAACTGTTTCCCAGTTTCTAGGAGTCCATATCTGGAAGCTGTTCAGAAGTGGCCTCCTTGCCTTATTTATCTATATCCCTCCAGAGGCTAGGACATGCCCTGCACATAGTAGGTGCATAATGGATGCTTAAAGAGTACCCCTTTGGATATTAAGTAGGTTGTCCATGTGAATAACTAGATGTGATCTAAATCCACTTACCTCTTTTTGTCCCGTGGTTTGTAGAAAATGGCAGAAGTCATCTTGAATTAAAAGAAATTTGGCTCTTCTTTTCCCTTCATGATCCTTAAGATGAGCCATGCTCTCTTGAAAGTACTGCTCAGCCACATCTGAAGAAAAGATCATAATGACAATTTTGAAAACTGCTTAGAGATTTGAAACGGAAATGGAATAAATATACTTTTAGCAGCAGTGAACTATCAGAAAATAGTAAGCATTTGGACATGGGAAACCAGCTAATGGGCCCTTTGCCTATTAATCTCCCTATTTTATCTGAAAAGATTTAGGTCTCAGAAGGTTACAGAAATTTACTTTCCTTAATTCTCATACACTTTAGCTTTCCTGGTAATACTGAAAGCAAAGGTGAGGCAAAAGGAGAAACTCTTCCCCTGACCAAACACACTGGCACATTTTCATGCTCATTGATCATAATTCTTCCTGTAACTCTGGTCACTCCTCACTGACATTAGGACTCTGAGGACCCACTTACTTTAGTGGACTGTAACTGTAATCTTATTACATATTTCTATATAACATGAAAAATCTGGAAAGTCTGGTTGATACACTGTGGAAGAAGAACCCCAACCATTCTAAATCCTTAACATACTGGTTATAATAAAATGAAAATATTTTTAAATACATGCTAATCATGAAAGCAAGAAAAGAAAATCTCTAGTTATGGAAAATGAAGAGGGACTTGATAGCCAGTGCAACAAGGGTGTAATATTCAGCTTTCTGTTGCTGTAACAAATACCAGAGATAAATCAATTTAAAAAGAGGAAAAGTTTATTTTGGTTCCTACTTTTGCAGATTTTGGTCCATGATCAGTTGGCCCTGTTGTTTTGGGGCCTGTAGTAAGGCATCATATTATGTCTATAGGAGTGGAACAAAGATATTCACCTCATGGTAGCTAGGAAGTGAGGAAAGAGAGAGAGAGAAACCCAATATCCCCTTTTCAAGGATACACCCCCAATAACCTAACTTTCTTCCACTCAGCCCCACCTCCTATAGGACCTTCCAATAGTGCCACAGGCTAGGGACCAAGCCTTTAACACATAGCCTTTGGAGACAGTTAAACTATAGTAGAGTGGGACTGAAGCTGAATGGTCCATTAGTGTATTAGAAAATTGGTATATTCTCTACATGCTGGGGTTTTTCGAGCTTGAGCAAGAAGAGGGATGAGGCCAGAGGCCTGTTTGTGGTAGGAAGCTGAATGGAGCTCCCTGGTAAAAAGTTAGTATGGCCAGAAGAATTCTAAGAGGACTCCAATGACCCTCACTCTTCTCTAACCCTCCCACCCCTTTGGTCTGGATGGAATTCATGAGTATGATGAATTCTGTGATGAGATTATGTTACAGGGTACTGTTAGCTTTAAGAAAGCAAGATTATCCCTTGTGCCTGATTAATCATAAGAACCCTTTAAAAGCATAGAGTTTTCTCCAGCTGGTAGCAGAAAAGGAAGCCAGAGAGATTGGATGCTGTTATGGTTTATGGTTTTCTACCCCTCAAATGCTTATATGTGCTAAAGGCTTGGTGGACAGCTTGTCCTGCCATTAAGAGGCAGTAGAACCTCTAAGAGGTGGGCCTAGTTGGAGCAGGTTTGATCACTGGGAGCATGCCTTTGAAGGGGATATTCAGACCCTACCCTTTCCTTTCTCTCTCTTTGCTTCTGGTTACCATGAGGTAATCACTTTTTCCCTCCACTACAATCTTCTGCCATGATGCTCTGCTTTACCACAGGCCCAAAACAACAGGGCCAAGTGACCATGAACCGAAAGATCTGAAACCATGAGCCAAAATAAACCTTTCTTCCTTTTAAGTTGTTTATCTCAGCTATTTTGCACAGGAACAGAAAGCTGACTATCACAGAAGCATTAAAGGGATGTGGTGAGAAAGTACTGCATTTCTACAATGGCGGAGCCATGGTGCAAGGACCCAAGGGCAGCCAGTAAGAGCTGAGGAATCACTGGCCAACAACCAGTAAGGAAATGGGGATTCCAGATCTATAGCTGCAGGAAACTGAAATCTGTCAATAACAGGAATGAACGAGGAAAAAGACCTCAAGGTCCAATGATAATGGAGCTATCCAATAACTTGACTTTAGGCTGAGCGGAGAAGCCAGCATTACAGTGCCAGGTTTCTGGCCTACAGAACTGTGAGTTAATAAATGGATGTTTAAACAACCTGTAATTTTGTATACAAAAGAAAACTAATATAGAAAAAATAATGTTTTTTCTTTTTTCAATTTATAATTTCTGGATACATATTTTATATTAACTTTGAATTAAGCAAGTTACAAACAGGCAAAAAGAAACCTAACATAGCCAATACTATGATATGAATGTTATGCCCCTCTCAAACTCACATATTCAAATTCTAACCTCCAAGGGGATGGTATTAGGAGGTGGAGTCTTTCAGAGGTGATCAGGCATGGGATTAGTGTCCTTATGAAAGGGACTCCAGAGAGTCGCCTCACCCCTTCTGCCATCTGAGAACCCAGTGAACGACAGCTGTCTGTGAACCACGAAGCAGATCATTGCCAGACACCAAATCTGCTATCACCTTGATCTTGGCCTCCCCAGCCTCCAGATTTCTGAGAAATAAATTGTGATTTTTATAAGCTATCTAACTTATGGTATTTTGTTATAAGATCCAATTTAACATACTAAGAATGCCAAGAATCCCTGAAATAGAGATAAGAACAATTGCATGGGTCTAAGGTGAAGCCTCAAAACTGTCCATGCAGAAGCCACAGCTCGAGAAAAAATTCTCAAAAAAACTGTCCTTAAAATCAAAAGTTAATTATTTCTTGAGTACCAACCATGCATCAGTTTTTATAATTGTGGCTTGGGGCTTCTCCCATTCATACCCACTAAAGAGCAGGTACACTGGAAGTAGTAAGCAGCAGATAGACACTGAGAGGACAGACACCAAAGTCTGGGATTGTTTGCATAAAAAACCCTGCATACCTCAAGAGCTCTGAGAACATGCTTGAACTTTACAGCAGGAGTCCTGAGTGTTGGGAAATGACCCAAGTACATTCCAGGAGAGCTGCTTTAGAAAGGAGAGAGATAAACACTTGGGCATTGTCTACCAGATCTAGTTAGCCTGAGGAAAACTTCAGTCCAAAAACAAGCTGTGCAGAGTTCACTCTGTGTGGGTTCTAGACTGAGGTCAATTGAACTGGGTCCTCTATAGCAGGTGTCTTCCTTCAGTATTACTCAAGTTTTGTCCTGGTAGAAGAAAATTCTCCCATATGGAAAACGTTGTACCTCTTTACTTGTAGCTGACTCATGGAAGAAAACAGTATAGATTTCCATGCTCAAGCTAAGTAGTAACTTTGGCTACTTTGATAATCAGATAGCAACAAATGTTGGGGATGATGTGGCATTTATTTTGTGGATTCTAAAAGGATTACATAGAAGTCTATAGTGATTGAGGATATTTAGAGTGAAGGATTCTTGATATTTTAATTTGTCTAGTTAATTGAGAACTCACTAAAGAATGTAACCCAGCTCTTCTTTTAAGAGTAAATGTGTCGCCAGGTGGGCATGGTGGTACATGCCTGTAATTCCAGTACTCAGAAGATAGAGGCAGGCGGATCATTAGTTCAAAGCTAATTTTTGCTACATATGAAGACCCCATCTCAAAAAAACAAAACAAAAGAAGTAAAGATCTTTACATCCCAGCCTCAGACCCCTGGAGATAGGCCCTTTCTATGAAGGCTGGCAGATGTAAAGGCCAAGTAAAGACTGGGGCTGAACATTGAGTTTCAGACCCTGGTTTTAGCAGAAGCCATACTGCCATGCACAAGGAAAGATGGAGACCAAAATGACTAGGAGGTGTTTCGTTTCCCTCTCCTGAGTTAGGAACCAGTCTACCAGGCACAGGTGGACAAGCTGTATACCTTTCTAGCACTTTTCTTGTAACCTTCTCTTATCCCCAGTATTCCTTCCCCTGGTGCTTGCAGGCTGACCAATCACCTCTCAAAGCACACTACTTAGGCTCCAGACCAGAAGGCAGTGTGTTGCTTTCTCTCAATGTAGCTAATAAACTCACAAAGGCTCTATTGGCCTAATTCAAACCAACAAGCAAATGGCTCATAACCTTGGACTCAGGGAGGCTGGCTGGTAATGCACTTGGATCTCTGGGAAAGGGAGGGGCAACAGGGAGGAAGGCATGTGTCACTTAAGGTAAGGCCCTCTGGCTCACAGAGGCCTTGTGGTAGGCAGGTGGAGACAGGCCCTGCCTGGGGATCTGTCCTCTAGGAGTTGGCTCCTTTGGCTTGCTTCCCTCCATCCCTTTCTGAGTCTCCACTTCTCTGAAGTTCCATGACTTCCCCATTTCTGTGCCTGGAGAGTCTCTTGTCAAAGGAGGGTGATGGGGCTGGGGAGCAGGATTTCCCTGACAAGGTGTTGTCATATACAAGCTGACCAAAGTTGGAGCATCTGTAAACTTACTTCAGGATGCTTACATAATAGGATACCTAGAGCACGGGGACACAGGTAGGTCTCAGGTCCATGGTGGTTCTCTCCCAGTCTATAAATTCAAAATTACTTTTATTTTTATCTAGGATCCTGGAAAGTTCCTTTATCACAAGACCCTGACTTATTTCCCACACCTCTCCAGACCCCCAAATTAACTGTGTGAACTATAAACTACATAGTCAGTCTTTGAAGAAAGAGAAAATTGATTCCCACAGCAATGGAGTCATTTCCTGATAAGCACAGTTTGTTCTCCTGGGGGTGAACATCCAGGATCTATCTGGGACAAGTAACAAGAGGATTTCAGAAGAGACAGGAAGCTGTAGCCCCTGGGGTGAGAAGTCCAGCTGGCATGTTCCTGTGTCCTGAAGCTGGGTGTGGGTTCACAAAAGAGCCAGCAGTTTCAGTGTTTTTGTCCATGGCTGTCCATAACTTTAAAAAGCACTTCTAGAGTTCTCTGCAACCTGACACCAGTGACCTGGGCAAAAGATGAAGTCATTTTCTAAAACCTGGGAGCATGATCTAGCTTGTAATCCGAACCCTGGTGGCAGGGGTGCTCCAAGGCCAAGCATCTCTTCCCATTCCCACTCCAACACAACATTTAGGTTGTCTTGTGAATTTGAGTG